ACTAAGAGTGAGCCAGCATATTTTAAAAAGAACAAACACTACATAATTTCTCCGTGAGCCAGGACTTTAATAAATCTTTCGCCTGACAGTTGTCCTTGGGGCCCACCACAACACAGCTCAACCTAACAAACCCACCTTAAAGAAAGAACCACTCACTGCTTGGTTCTAAATATAATGACATTAGCACCCAAATATGGAATGAAACAAAAAAAATAATAATAACGTAATAGCTGCATTTTTCTGTGCTGTAGCATCTCCAACTATCGGGAAAAATTAGGTTTCCTTCCTCGTATCACTAAGTATAAACTAATCTCAGGAGAGAACCGATAAGGGGGGAAAGTAACCAGTCACACCAAGGTATGAAAAGAACAAACTGATTGCTTTGGTTAATATTTGAAGGTTCAGCACACAGTCTAACCAAGCAGGGCTGAAGCTTTACTCTGTCTGAAAGGACAAAACCAAAATGACTTTTTTCTAAACTCCCATCAAATTGTAATTTCTGTATGGTATGTCGTGCAAAGTTTACAAAGCAAAGGCTTTTGAAAAAAGTTGTACATATTGTCTTGACATAGCGACTGAAAAACGTGTTAGGCAACATGAACACATTAGTCAAACACACCTCCTAACAGAGGAGACCAAGAAAAACAAAACCAAAAATTACACTTACCAGCTGTAAAAAAAAATTAAAAAAAAGGTCTAAAAGTGTTTCTTTAGGAAATAAATCAGCAGAAAAAGTGCACCGGTTATAAAAAGGATACATTATAAAATCAGTTTATGAAAACATTTTATCATTTTTCTTCACCCAAAAGAGTCAATGCAACAAATTCTAATTCAACATATTAGTAGAGGCCTTTTAAAACCCCTGAGTCAGGTTGCTGCACATCAAGATTCATAAAGTTGAGTTTTGAGATTTTGGTGGTGGAGGACAAGAGGAGGTAAGTCCATCCATCCGTCCATCCATTTTCATCCACTTATCTGGAGTCGGGTCGCGGGGGCAGCAGCCTAAGTCGAGAGGCCCAGACTTCCCTCTCACCAGCCACTTGGGCCAGCTCTTCCAGGGGAATCCCAAGGCGTTTCCTGGCCAGGCGAGAGACATTGTCCCTCCACCGTGTCGTGGGTCTCCCTTTAGGCCTCCTCCCAGTTGGATGTACCCAGAAAACCTCACCAGGGAGGCGTCCAGGAGGCATCCTGACTAGATGCCCGACACATCTCAACTGGCTCCTCTCGATGTGGAGGGGCAGCGAATCTACTCAGAGCCCCTCCCGGATGACTAAGCTTCTAACCCTATCTCTAAGGGAGAGCCCAGCCACCCAGCGGAGAAAACTCCTTTCGGCCGCTTGTATCCGCAATCTCATTCTTTCGGTCACTACCCAAAGCTCATGACCATAGGTGAGGGTAGGAACGTAGATCGACCGGTAAATCGAGAGCTTCGCCTTCTGACTCAGCTCTCTCGTCACTACGACAGACTGATACAACGCCCGCATCACTGCAGACGTAGCACCAATCCGCCTATGGATCTCACGCTCCAGCTTTCCCTCACTCATGAACAAGTGAGGAGATGAGTCTTACAATAAAAACCAGTGTCTTGAAGACTATCGGAGAGTAGATATTAACACAAAATTGTGAGGAAAAAGAAAATTATTCGAAACACATACATTTTCACAGTTGAAATACATTTTGAATAAATCCTGTAGGACCAAAATTCTAATTATTTTTGTTACAACCTAGTCACAAGAGGTCTAAATTATGTGTAAATTTGGTTACCCGTGTACAAGACAAACCACATTTTTCGCACTTTGCCTCACAAAACTCGTTTTAGGAGGATTCCATACCTTCTGGAAAATTCTTCAAAAAGTGCAATTTGTCACCAACAGCCACAATTCAGTGAGATGCTAGCTTAAGTCCTGGTTTGTTTCTTTCTGTCACTTTTAAAGTGCATTTCATTAGGCCCATTTCTAATATCGTAACTTCCAGGTCATTTTTACCATATGGTATACGCTTGTCTCCATGTCATTGGGACGACAATATGGAGACAAACCACGAACCAAATGGGCTATGTACTCTGGAGTGACCCAGTAGTTGCTGGGTGGGACTTGTGGTCAACTCATGCCGACGGACATTAACTGGGTGGAAAATGATTCGAGGTGCTGGGAAAAAAAAAATACGATTCAAGTCTGAATGAAGATTATTATTTATAAAGATTCTGAATTAATCCAAAAATGTCCCAAGTGTTGTTACTTGAGATGGCACTTTCCAAACATGTCCTTGCTTATTCGCTACTCGTACTCGACTGTCAGTCAATGGCTTACGTACTGCTTCATTCTAGGAAGTGAAGCATGGACTTCCAGAGCTACTCACTCCATCACATTCATGGCTCACTACATTTAAGACACCTGGAAGATTTCAAAATTACAGAAGAAAGTAGTTAATCTTGGAATTGAGTACCTAATCTTGGAACTGAGTACCGATTGTCATCGATTTGAATTGAGAATCGATTCTGAATCAAATCTTCACCTTGAGAACTGGAATTTTATTGAATCTTGAGCTGTTGTAAGATTCGCCCCACTTGAAATTATATTAGTGAATGCCGCCAAACGACCAAATACAAAACATAGTTGCTGGTGAAGCAGCGTGAAAGGAAGAGAAACTAAGAAAAGCTTTCATTCATTGCTGAGTGCGTTTACATGCAGCCAGTATCCCTTTTAAAACCGGAATATTCACAATAACCCGATTCCGCAGGTCCATGTAAACACCACCAAAAACCCGGATATGCTCATAACCGGGTTTTTAAAAACCCGGTTACTACACCTGGGGTAACCCTTTTCTAACCCGAATGTTTGGTCGTGCAAACGCATATCGGGATATCCCCATCGAAGTGTGTATTCTGCGCATGCTCTGTTCGCAAGGAATCTTGGTCTTTTGAGTAGCGAGATGTCTTGTATGCGCCAGAACACCGGAAGTAAACAACAAGTTGGGAGCAACATGGCGAGTCGCGGCACAGCACCACACTTTTGGAGTGACGAGGAAACTAAAGTGCAAACAAATGCAGTCGCTATCTCTTCCGAACTGGGAAACATGTTGTTGTTTTCACGGATACCGGAACAAGAAATGGAAATGACGCATTTTGCATCTGGACGTAGTCCATACGTCCTGATGCTACCCCAACGTCCGCATTTAAATCGGGTTATGCAAGTTAGGGGTAACTCTTTCTATTTATGCTTGTAAACGGGTTATTCTGATCAACTCAGAAACCCGAATACCGACCTTAACTCGATCATAACCCGGATATTGGCTGCATGTAAACGTAGTCAGTGCCATTTGTTGTGTATAGCAACATAGCAAACAACCTGCTTCTTCCATTGTCAATTGTTTTTAAATGTTATTTATGTCCGTGGAAGCCTTTTGGAGCAGACTAGTGATGACACCCACTGTGACAATGGTCTACATACCCTTAGATAAATCCTTAAAGTGATGGTGTGTATTTTCCCTGGCGATAGGGGGCAGTAGATATCTAAGTCATTGCAAGCAAGCTGTATTTTTATGTTTGAGTAAGACCTTACCAACGGATGGCCATTAGCGTCAAAAATCCCTGAAAGATCAACCTCCAGAAAAATGACAAGACCATTAAATTTCCTTTCATCATTGGCAACGAGTGAAGAGGTAAATGTGTAAAACAATGTATATAGTTTTGTAACTAACTGCATTTTCTCCTCATGGGCTCCCATAGAAGGAAACGTGGCTAATATGGCGTCACCCAGAGACTTGGACCCGCTCCCATTTATTTAACAATTCAGCAGCATTTAATTCGTTTTCAACAACATTTCAATTGATATTTCCAGAAATTAATGGTAAAAACTACACATCGTCTCTTTAAAGGGCCAATTGCGTATGGAGACTCAACAACTGAGAGGACCAAGCATGCATATTATCCCCCGTCAACCCCCCCTCTCTCATAACCATCCTAGAACTAGTGTAAACAGGTCTAACACTAATTAGGTATGCTGAATTTACAAGCTGTACTTAAATTTTTTATATCTGTACTCATTTGTGACACCCCACCAGTTTTCTCCAAGCTCTACGTTTTACAGCCCCAGATTTTAAGGGTCTACTTATGCCACCATTGCATTTCTGATGATTAAACTGACAAACAGCAGAATCAAAAAGATGAAGTATGCACATGAGCGTGGCTGGGGAAACAAAAAGGTTGTTTACTGTTATACATAGCTAGACAATCGATCACTTTGGGGCAATAAGAAAACAAATTTCCATGTAAAAGAAAACACATTAAAATGAGCTCGAAACTAAACATATTAGAGCAAAGCTGTCAGCATTCAAAGTATGAATCAAAATGATCAAGGTAAGTGTCATGATGTTTGCTTTGTACAATAAAATGAATGTTTTCGTATTTAAAATAACTAGAAGCAGGACGTGTTTCCTTAAAGCATGACAAGAATTCCGACCCTTTACTTTTTTGTTTCAGTTTCAGCACCTGCAGAAGGGCATGGCAACAACAAGGAAAGTTCATTCCAAACAACAAAAATGAAAAATCTCATTTGAATAACAGCTGTGACCCTAGAGACCCAAGTCTGGCAATGCCCCCATCTCCTCCCTTTGCTTCAGCCTGAAACTGAGGTTCCCAGGTAAAACACTCTGCCTTCCAGATGTCTGCTGCATGCATTCAGGCCAAGACAAGACCAGACCTGACTCCTCCTTATCTCCTGACAACCCCTCAAGGCTGTGCCCATCCCAGCTCCAGAGCTTCAACAAACTGTCAACAAGAGTTTAACTGTCAGGGCCAATGACACATCAGGCAGATGGAGGACCATTTCTCCCAGAAATCTGACACTCCTTACACTTACAGCCAGGCTTGTCCCGTCATATCTCGCTCTGGGTGGAATTCATTGGAGCAAAGTTTTGGGATTTATGAACCTTCTGCGTGAGATTTTTAAACATAAAACCAGAGCTTTAAAGACCTAAAAAGTTGATGAAATGACCCTCACCTGTTGCAGTACTTTGCCCAGAGGCTCTGCACTAATGACGTCATCCACACTCAGCCCAGTTTCTTCTTTACACTGGTCTGTCAGCTCCAAAGAGTCCGGCTTGACAAAGTACTTGTGGACCTTTCCGACCTGCGAATGGAGTTAGCATTTCATGGTACACAACTCTGCGACGACGAAGAAACAAAAACGCCAAATTATGAAGCCCCTCACAAACCGGAAGTGGACATTTTTTTAAAGGGGGGAAAGAAAACAATTGACAATACAGTTGCAAAAGCAAGTTAACTGTAAAAAAAAAAAAAAAAAAAAAAAAAAAAGGAAGCACCGTTTTGTGTTGAGAAGCTTACATGCTCTAAACGAAAAAGGTGTGTTTTTACACGTTGGGTGAAATTATCACCAATCAGTTTGTAATTTGGTCACCTGTTAAAGTTGAGCATGTAGCATTAGCTAGCATAGAGCCCAGCAGGCGGTCAGAGAAACCACACCGTGTTGATTTAAATGTCAAACTAATTGGTTCCACTACAGCTACTAAACGCCACAAACACTCCTGAGCAACACGAGTAAACCAAAATAACAAACAACGGACGGAGAAAGAGGGGGAGGTCAGAAAGGTCCGTACCTTTTTCTCATGTAGATCCACAATTTGCCACACCAAGAGAATTATTTCCCTCTCATCCGAACCCAGTTTACCCCCATTTGCACCAGCTGTTGCCCCAAAGAACACCACCAGAGTATCACTGTGCGAAGCCATCAGGGACCACAAGGGTAAAAACTACAATTAAAGCAAAGATTAAAATAAAGTAATAATGATGTAAAATAAAGAAGTAACACGAGAGTTCACCTTTTTCCAAGTGATAAGGAGAACGAACAAAAGCGCTTTGAGATAAACGCAGAGAGAGAAAAGGGGGGAGATTATTTTCAGAGGAGCCACGGAAGAGTTTGCGGTCAGAGACACTACCTGTTGCAGTACTTGAGTGCGTTCTATCCAGAGATACTGGTTTAACTGGTAAAGAAGGGAGGAAATCCGTTTTCCCTTCACACGAACTCCATAACAAGCCTCGGAGGGTTTTTTTTTCTTTTTCCCCTTCTATTTTTTTCCCGAGTTACCTGTGTGGCTCGGCCTCCAAGGAGAAGAGATGTTTTCTATTGGATGGTTTGTAAAGGTAAGGGCGGGACTTGGTGATGTATGCTCAAATCTCATTGGCAGCTGGGTTCCTTTCCGGGATGTTGTTCAGCACCACAGGCATATTGACATATCCATACGGCCCCGCTGATAAAGGAGGCAAAGTGCAGGGAAATGAGGAACAACTTGACCACAAGGAAGCCTTTGAACACACTCAGAGTTTATACGTAGCCGATTTGAATTAAACAAAAATATACAAAATGAGAGAACATTTGAGCAAGTTCTGTCTCGCTCAACATCTGTCAAATATTGTACGGTTTACAAAAAATGAATAAACAGTAAAGACAAAGGAATATTTTAATATTTTCTGGGTAAGACAGTAAAGACAAAGGCACATTTTAATATTTTCTGGGTAAGTTTCATGAACTTTAAATATGCAATTTAGACAGTTTTTCCATCTGGGTAATTTTGAGGTGAAAGATGATATTTTCCATTATAGAAGCAAAGAAAAAAGCATTTTAAAGGAATATCTTACATATTTTAAACCTAAACATGATTCATTTTTCAGCAGTTACCGTATAACCAGAATGTGTATCGTGAGGATTTATTTGCAGTTTATGCAAATTAACCTGATTGTCTGACAATCAATGGAGATCTGTTAATTTATGACTTGGTGCATGTGTTTTGCATTATTCAAAACAGACTTTTAGTAAATCCAAAGCTAAAAAGTGGGGTAACCAATGAAATATGACAAAAATATGCCTTTAAAGTTTAAACCCCAAAATTGGTTGTTAGTCGCTTCACACTCTGTCACAAACCATCCCAGATCCACCCGAAGGTCCTTTTCTTGTACACATAAAAAAACTGGGGTTTACCCTCCTTTCCACAGGAAAATGTTGAAATCTTGTCCATGGACACTAAAATCAGGATCAGAGAAAAGGGACAGCCCTGTTTGTGTCCAAGCTTAGCTGAAAATGCAGAAGAATCTGTTGCTTTGGTTGGGCAGTGACTAGGAAGCCCTAGAAGTCCACAAAACGCATGATCTGGACAACCAAACTTCCTTTTCTTAACTAAAATTTACTGAATCAATGTAACATTTCTTTATGCATTTCCACAAATGAGCCTCCTTCCCAAAGTCACTTTGCTAAACAGGTTATTTTTATATAAATATTTTTCTCATCTGTGTTTTTATTTGCTAGTCTGGAAATGTCACTAAAACTTTAATAGTCAAACCGCATCAGTAACCTTCAGGTCCTCAAAGCTCTCTGTAGTTTCCCATATTGGCCCAGTTCCCAGAATAGCATGTTCAGTTTCTAATGGCACTCCCTTCTCTGCTTTTTTCTCCGTTCTTTTCCTTTCACTCCTTTAAATCCCCAGTCTCAAGTGTAAGTGCCTGTGTCACCTTTCCACTACGCAGAATCTGCTTCTGGCCGAACCAGTCTGGTTGGTTTAGGGACGCGTGTGAGTCCGAAGTCGCTGACACAGAAAAGTGACAAGAATCAGAACATTTCAGCTGATGATGTTTTCTTGTTGGAGACTGACCGTGATAAACCAACAGTAAATACAATTCTGAGAAGCGTGCGTGTGCATGCGTGCATGTGTGTGAGGTGATAAAAGACACACACATATGGGCACAGATACAAGTGTGTATGAGGTGTTTTACTTCATGTGGTATAGGTTGCAGGCATTGGCAGGTGTGTTTTACCTTGAGTCACAACTGGCTCAATTGAAATGTAATCTGATTACAATAAAATTAAAGCTTATTCAGGGGATGATTTAAAATATATGAAATGATCTATTTACAGAGACACAACAATCCCATTTAAGCCCAGGAAATAAAAATATTATTAAAAGCTTGGTGTATAGAGGCTGCTTCCTTGTATTCTGAGAAAACGTCTTCAGTTTCTTCGTCACACCCTTTTTGTTTACAGTGATTTTCCACAGTCAGTAAAAACCAGCCAAATATTTAATCCATTTACAGAGGTTATGAGAGTCTCCTCAGTTACTACATTCAGTTTTTATTTAATTCTAATATAAAGTATAATTATCCTTCTAGAAATGCTGATTTAGAAGACCACTTCTCTTAGAAATTTGAAATGACGTGTCTTGTGTTGCAAAATACCCCCAAAACTCAGCACTGATGAGTCAGAGTCATTGTGAAATAAAACATATGGTTGTTGGTTGCATCATAACATGAATCCTGGTGCACATTTGACTTATTTCATGTTTTTGAAATGAATTATCTCAACATAAAACCAACAGCAGTAGTTTTAAGGACTTGATTTATTTGCTTTACCTGAATAAATTCCATCAATGCAAGGAAGCTCAATGGCTTTATTCTTTGATTCATTTTTAAACTATAAAATAATTTGATCAACTGGTGGTGCATAAATAATAGCCATCATAAAAATGCAATATAAAAACATCAGAAATAGTTTTTATGTAGTTGTGGCTGCCATCTACTGGCTGGCTAGAATATGCATTAATCACCCAATTTATACAAATAAAAGGTGAATTGTTATTTATTAACACTAGTGAAGAGTGTGTCCTCTCTGTATTAAGTTTATATTAAAGGATTCTAGGGTTGTGACAAACATTAGGGCACAATTCCTCTTTTTTCCACCTCAACAAAAGGAACATGCAGTTTTTCATTTGGCAATCTTTTCTATGAGAGGAAGTTGAAAGCATGACTATTTACTGTTTTTGGGATAAGAGGACAAAAAGTTTCTCATCTGTCACAAGTTTTAAGAAACTTGCTTTTTTATAAATTAAAAAAACAGCAAAAGAAGTAAATCAGACTCATGCGGTCAGCGTGGTGTAGTATTAATGTTTATCCTCATGATGGCAAGCTGATGGACATATTCTAGTGATGCAAGAACACGGCAGTGACACAATTAAATGAAAATTAAAAACCTACCAAGAGCGAATCCTTTCATCTATTAAATCTTTCACAGTTTTACAGATTCTTCATAATTCATAAAACACAACTACACATCTTACTCATACAGCCTTATTTATTCTTTTAAAATGATAAACAACATTCAAACGTGTGTTATAAGGTCACTGAATACATACAATTTTATAAAAATAAATTAACATTAAAAAGAATTTTTTAAATTGAGAAATTTACATGCATAGAAGATATGTTCATCTACTTTGTACAAAATGAGGTTTATTCCAGAGATGTTTTCCTTTTATTTAAATGCATTTACATCAAAACACACACACACACACACACACACACACACACACACACACACACACACACACACACACACACACACACACACACACTGTCCTCATGCAACTTCCGTGTCAGCAGCTTGATTATCTTCACACATTTTCATTAACATATTAATTTGGTCGTTTGACTCAACTGCATACTGAGAGCTGTTGGTCTGATTGCTGTGCCTCTTGGACACGAAGGACATCTCCCTTGTACCCTCTCCTGGAGAGGTGCTGGAGATGTGACGGAAGAGCTTCTGGATGCCGGTGTCACGCAGAGAATTCCTGAAGGAACGAGCAGCAAACATGTAGAGAACAGGGTTGATGGTGCTGCTGATGAAGACCATGGCTCCTGCGATGAAAGCCATGGTGTTCCGAACGCTCTCCAGCTTCTCTGCTGCATCTGCGAAGGTGTTTGCGATAGCAATGGTGATGACCGACAGGATGTTTCCCACGTGGTAAGGTGTCCAACAGATGGCAAAGGCAACGACTACACTGGTGATCAAGATGGTGGACTTGTGTTTGGATCTGAAGTTCATCTTTGTGATGCGGCTGCACAGGCATCCGTTGCAGACCACTAGGATGGAGAAGGGTAAAATGTAGCCCATTACCGTCTCCAGCAACACACACACCAGCTCCTGGCTCGTAGAAGTGTAGCTGCGAAACAGACAGTGCATCTCCCCCAAATTCTCCCCAACAACCTGAGTTGGGACAATGGGAATGCTGAACAGGAATGCTAGTGTCCATAGAGCCAGCAGGACTATATTCAGTGCTTGTTTCCTTTTCCAGACAGCCGAGGCAAATGGGTAACGCACAACGATGAAACGTTCCACACTCATTAGGGTGATGAGGAAAACACTGCTGTACATGCAGGCGTTGATCATGAACACCATGGCTTTGCAGCACGCCTCCCCAAACACCCAAGAGTGCGCGAGGGAGTAGATCCACAGAGGCAATGTGATCAGAACCACCAGGTCTGCAGCAGCCAGGTGCAGGATCAGAACCACGGTGTGGGAGCGCTGCTCAACATGCTTCAGGATAGTCCAGATCACAAGCAGGTTCCCTGGAGCTCCGATCAGGAAGGACAGACCCAGGATCAGACACGCCACCAATGTTCCACCGCCAAACTCCTCTGGAGCCATTTCTGCTCCAAGAGACGCTTCATCCGAGTGGTTCATGCTGCAAGTAGATATGCTGACTGTGATGTCTGGATGGAAAGAAAGAAAGTCTTCACTTCCTCTTTAGGCTGAGTCTACACAGGAACAGGGTTTCCTAACAGGGCTTTCTGAGACACAGATGTGATTCATGCATGTGTCATTTATCCATTTTACATCAGGTCATGAATTTAGAGGGGAGGAGGGATAAAAAGTTCTAAAACAGATATAAATGAAAGCCTTTGACATCATCCCATAAAACAGTGGAATTACCTCTATGAGAGATGTCCAAGCTTTTGCTTCTGACCAAAAATAACCAGACAATATTTACATTTGTCTACATCTTAATGAGCCCCGAGACATCGGGGAAAATATTCTGTAGATTTGGGACACAAAAGTAGAACTTTTTGAAAGGTGTCCTGCTCTAGAAATGCTAGAAACCCTCCAATGTGTCTGAATTAAAGGAATTCCATGTGAAGAGTGGGACACAATTCCTCCAGTTATCTCTTTACACTTTTGATTGCAGCTGTTGCTGCCAAGGGTGTTATAAGTAATTATTACATTTTGAGGTAAATTATATTTTCACATTTAGCCAGGTTAGTTTGGATAAATTAAAAGTTAAAGTCCCTTTAGTTGTCACACACACTGATGTGTGTGCGAAATTTGTTCTCCGCATTTGACCCATCTCCTGGGGGAGCGGTGAGCTGCAGACACAGCGGCACTCGGGAACCGTTTGGTGGTTTAACCCCCCAATCCAGCCCTTTAATGCTGAGTGTCAAGAAGGAAGGCATTGGGTCCCATTTTTTCAAAGTCTTTGGTATGACCCGACCAGGAATCGAACCCTGATCTCCCAGTTTGACACTCTACCACTAGGCAACTGAGCTGGGAGTAAATCATGCAAATTCCACTTTTGGAGTTTTTTTTAACAAGGTATTTTATTATTATTATTATTATTATTATTATTATTATTATTATTATTATTATTATTATTATTTGCAATATTACCAACTGAACAAACAACACACACCCTCACCGGATGAAACTCAGAAAAAAGAAATGAACATAAAACAGGTTTCAATGAGACACTAAATCAAAACACAAAACAATCTCACCAAAGAAACAAATGTAAGGACTACAGATAGTAGAAAAGGGCATTCCCAGGGTTTGGCTGATCCCAATACCAATTTATTTCTCTGACACATTTAAAAACAACATGGAAGCTGACCAAAGCGCCTCCCAAACAACAACATAAAAAACAGACACACAATATACAGATAAAACAATCAGTAAAAGCAGGTTAAAAACAGCAATGAAAGCACACAATAAAAACGTAAAAAACGACCATAATCTAAAAACAAAATCATAGCAGTGCATCTTCAACCATGACTTGAAGGCACCAATGGATGATGACAGTTGAATAGTGATTAGCAATGCATTCCTTCATACGCGAAGGCTTGCCCCTCCCCTTGCCTTGTAGTTCATAGTGAGGGTGCAAAGGAGCAGGCGGTCAGCTGACTGTAGCGAGCACACTGGCACATAGGGCGTGAGTTGTCCAACAAATATGAAGGTGCCATGCTGTTCAATATACAAAAGGCAGGACCTTAAAATGTACTCTAAATTCCACAGGAGATGAAGATGTGCCAAACCGGGGTCACATGGCTACATCTGCCTGTGTTGATCTAAAACCTTGCAGCTGCATTCTGCACAATCCGCCACCGGCTCAGGGTCGAAGCAGGACTCCCGACTAGGTGTGAGTTTGCATAGTCAAGGCAAAAGGTGATAAAGATATTTAATGTCCACAAATGGTCAGTTTTCACCTACAGATGGCCTACAGGTCATCGGTCATCTACAGACCTAATTCAATCCTATGAGGTGGATTTTATATTCTAGCTGCACTCTTCTTCCGGCTCTTGGAGGGTGCAGATGCTTTTTTTCCTCCTCTCCTCCATATCTTATTGTCATGGGTGATTCTGCAGGTTGAGTGCTTTGCAGTCTTGTTTCTGGTTTTATTGTATTTTTGGTACTTCCTGTTTTATTTTGTGCATTCACTTCCTGTCTCATTATAGGCAGCTTCACGACACGAGGCTCCTCACTAATCTGCCTCATGTCTTGCACTTGGGTCCTGGCTTCTCCATTTAAGCGTCTTTGCAACTGTTTCCTTTGCCAGTTTGTCTTCTTCAGTTGAGTACTGTGAACCTGCTCTCAGTAACACTTTGTGAGAGTGTATTTAGTTAGTTTTGGACTTGTTCAGTTGTGCTGTACTGCCAGGAATCCCTTCTGCTAATTAAAACTGTGTGAGCTCTGCATTTGAGTCCTCTTTGTGCTCTGATAGTACAAACTGGCCAATAATGGACTCAGCAAGCTCTGACTCAGTTTTGGGGGCCCTGGGGGCTCAGGGGAAGAGGCTCCTCCAACAGGAACAACAGATGAGCCTACTGCACCAGGAGATGGGGCAACTCAATGCTCGACATGATCAGTTTGCTACCTCTGTCAGTGATCAACTCAGTTACCTGGTGGAGAAGGTGCAGCAGCTCCAGACCTCTTCAACCCAGCCTCCAGAGAAGAACCACATGCCGCAGCCCCAGACTAACGAGGTGGAGGTGACTCCTTGAACATTCTCTGCATCCCCTGGCCTATCTGTTCATCTTGCTCGTCCTGAGAGGTTTTCTGGGGACTCTGGTGATTGTCAAGCATTTTTGACACAGTGTAGCCTCCACTTTGAACTGCAGCCCTTCTCTTTCCCCACGGAGAGAGCCAAGATTGCTTTTCTCATCTCCCACCTTTCGGGCAGGGCCGAGGCTTGGGCCACCAGCGAGTGGGAGCGCGACGCGGACATTTGTAAGTCACTTGATCTTTTTACTAAGCGTTTCACTCAAATTTTTCAGCACACTAGGCCTGGGAGGGAGGCTGCCAGAGCTCTATGTCAGCTGCAGCAGAAGAGGAGACGTGTCGCTGATTATGCTATTGAATTTCGTACTTTGGCTGCTGCATGTGACTGGAATCAATCAGCACTTTTTGATGCCTTTTTGAGTGGTCTTTCCAGTGAACTCAAGGATCTGTTAGCCCCTCTGGATCTGCCGGAGGATTTGGACTCTCTCCTCGCTCTGGCGATCAAGATTGACAAGAGGCTCACAGACCGACAACGAGAGAGAGGTTTCGACTTCCCTTCTCCTCCGGACCGGTGGAGGCGGGGCGCTGCTAATGGTGGCTCCAGTTGGCGTGCGTCAGCCCCTGACTCTTCTCTCAACGTGTCCTCAGCTTCACCAGCTTCATCAGTGGAGCCCATGGTGATTGGCAGAGCCCACCTTCCACCTGAGGAACGTCAACGCCGCTTTCGGGAGGGTCTCTGCCTGTATTGTGGCCAGCCGGGTCACCAAGTCAGCAACTGTCCAGTAAACAAGAAGGGACCTCTAAGGAGGTTTTCGTTGGTGAGTTGCACTTCCTTTTCTAATGACATCCAACGTGCAAGCCCCACTGTCCAGCTCTCCACTCCTGAAAAGACTGTTGAGCTGGTGGTGCTCATTGACTCTGGTGCAGATGTTAACTTAATGGATGCTCAATTTGCAAGACAATTGAACTTAGAGTTTTTGCCTCTTGAAAGGCCCCTGCAGGCTGTCGCCTTGAATGGACATCCGTTGTGCTCTGTGTCTAGTCGAACCCCACCTGTTAAAGTGACTTTCGCTGATAACCATTCTGAAATGATTACGTTTTTCCTGTCTGATTTTCCTCGACACCCGGTCATTTTGGGTCATCCCTGGCTTGTTCGGCATAACCCTAACATAGATTGGTCCTCTGGTTCGATTTGATCTTGGAACTGCGATTGTTTACAGTCTACTCCTGGTAGTACCCCTCCTTCCCAGGTTGTAGGGGTTCTACCAGCCTGTGATTCTGATTTCCCTGATCTGTCTCGGGTTCCCTCTTGTTACCATGACCTTAAGGAGGTTTTTAGCAAGTCACGGGCTGCCTCTTTGCCCCCGCATCGTCCGTATGACTGTGCCATTGACTTGCTACCGGGAACCACGCCCCCTAAGGGTCGCCTGTACCCATTGTCCTTACCTGAAAGGCAGGTCATGAGGGATTACATTGACACAGCGCTCCGTGCAGGCATAATCCGTGAATCTTCGTCCCCTGCTGGGGCAGGTTTTTTCTTTGTGACCAAGAAGGACAACACTTTACGTCCATGTATCAATTACCGGGGTCTAAATGACATCACCATCAAGAACAGGTACCCCCTCCCTCTGGTCTCTTTGGCTTTTGAACTCTTACAAGGTGCTACATTTTTTACTAAGTTGGATTTGAGGAATGCTTATCACCTTGTGAGAGTGAGGGAGGGGGATGAATGGAAGACTGCCTTTAATACGCCCAGTGGGCATTATGAGTACCTAGTGATGCCTTTTGGTCTCTCTAATGCTCCGGCGGTTTTTCAGGCTCTGATTAATGATGTACTTCGGGACATGCTCAATGATTTTGTTTTTGTGTACCTAGATGATATCCTGATTTTCTCCCCTGATATGCAGTCCCATATCCAGCATGTGCGGAGGGTTCTTCAACGCCTTCTCCAACACCAGCTCTATGTGAAGGCGGAGAAGTGTGCCTTCCACGAGTCTTCTGTTCATTTTCTTGGGCTTGTTGTGAGGCAGGGGGAGATCCAGATGGATCCGACAAAGGTGGAGGCGGTCAAGAACTGGCCGGTCCCTACCTCGAGGAGAGAGGTGCAGAGGTTTTTAGGTTTCGCAAACTTTTACCGGCGATTTATTAGGGGTTTCAGTAGCGTTGCTGCCCCTTTGCACGCTCTGACCTCCCCAAAAGTCAGGTTTCAGTGGTCCTCTCAGGCAGACAAGGCTTTTCTGAGTCTTAAGGACAGTTTCACTTCTGCTCCGATTCTGGTAATGCCTGATGCCCGGTTCCAGTTCATTGTTGAGGTGGATGCCTCCGAGGGGGGAGTGGGGGCTGTTCTCTCTCAGCGCTCCGAGGTGGATCACCGCGTTCATCCCTGTGCATTCCTTTTTTTTTTTTTTTTTTTTTTTTTTTTTTTTTTTTTTTTTTTTTTTAACGTGTCCTGTCTGGCTGTGAAG